GGTTGATCAAAAGTTAGGGCTAGCCCATTTCTGGATTTTTTGAGTTGGGATCTAGAAAATATTCATCTGCTGAAATAGGGAAAATATATCATTACCAAAATAACAATAATAAAAAGGCTATGTTTAATAGAACCATTTTCTCTAGGTTTCTTGCTCCCACACAAATCAAATAAGCACTTACTCTCTAGAAACAAGCATACATAAAGCCAGTCTACTAATCTTGAGAAGGGCCCAAAGCAAATGCAGAGACCAAGGGAGGGAGAATAAAACTACTGACAGAACATTTCAAATAGGAAACCCCAAAACAAGCAAGCAATGTAGCCCAGTGCATGTTTGAGAGAGCCAGTATGGCCCCAAAATGTGTTTGACAACAATAATTTTGTCACTCATTTTTCCCACTCTTCCTTTATTTTCCTTCCTAAATCTAAGCCACTCATACGATCAGCTTGTTCCTCATGATTATCAAACCAAAGTGACTAGTATGAACTTGGCATTATAGAAGGAAGCAAAATGAACCCTGATCTAAATGTATCTACATAAACAACAGCATGAAGGGCCCTAATGACTCCCCTAATACCCATAGCAGAGCAGGCTCATGAATAATAGTTGTATCCAGTGGAGTGTATCCAATAGTTCACTAGATTATACTTAACTCCACTAGTCTAACTTAAGTCCCATTCCATTGAAGAGGTCTAACATTAAGACTAGCATTAAATACATCACTGGCAAGATGGGTTTGCTCAAGAATTCTGAACTACAGGCTCTATGGAATGTGTAACCTAAACCCTGGAATTGATGCTAAAAGGAACACTCCAATCTTGGAGAAATAATGGAGCAATTGCAATAATTTGCTTCTATGAAACTAAAAGAGTCTCTGTAGTGATGTGGGGTGCATTTGCAAGGGGGTGTGTAAGTCAGGCTGGTGCCATCCAGAATTGTTGGACTGTAGTTCTCGTATCTTTTCCAGCCAGCATGGCATTTGACAGGACTTTCAGTCCAACACTTCTAGAGGAGTGGTAGGTAAGAAAGGCTGGTGAAAACTGCTCAACATGCAGCAGTCACAATCATTCACTTCAAAGATAACTGCAATTTACTTAAAAAGTTTAAAATTCATTTAATACATGTTTGTACATTCCACTGAAAGAAGCATGCAAGAAGAGACTTTTCCATACAAGCTTTTCTCACCTGCCTGGCCCAACCCAACAAGCTTATGGGCTTGGCTTGCAGGTATCTGCAGTTAAATTACTAAATTTAGTAAGTTAATGGGAATGTTGTTTCTTGTTATTCAGATATTGCTTTCTCTGAGTGAACATATCTTACTGGTTTGATTTTAGGTGCTGAGGAGTTTTCCAATTATCAATCTACAGTTTGCTCTACACCATTAAAAAGAAATGGTCCTCCACTGAGGAGGTCCTACAAAATAGAAGACCAAATGGATGACTTCTGAAAGGATGCACAATGACGTGAGTCCTGCTCTAATGGTGAATTTCATTTGTCAGTTTCCCACATAATTGGATCTTCAGGGAGCCATCCTATGGCCTCCGCACATTGTCTCAGGGTCACTGGATAGGTTGGAGTCCCAGCTCTGACCCAGAAAACACTTTTGAGGGCATACAAGCTGGGACTTCAACCCTAGAGGATGCTCTTTCTACCCTCACAGGTGAGACAGTTCCTTTTGCACCAGCTGGGCTCTGAAAAAAGAAGACCATCTGTGGAAGTTGTGTGGAGAAGAAGCTTTCTGGGGAGAGGAGGAGAGAGGCACTGCTGTCCTCCAAGGAATCTTGGCTATGCCTCAGCCTCTCCTCCTTGCAAGGCTTGGAAATCTGGATGAGCAAATTCAGCTGTCTAAATGTTTTGGAGGGCAAGGGGAGCAGAGGGGATCCTATCCTCCTTCGGATGCCAATAATGCTCCAGGTTTGGAGGGTTACAGGCAGCCACAGTGGGTAATTCCCTTGCTGGAGAATCCCCACCAATACAATGCACACATAATGAAGAACCAGTTTAAACAAGATTATTCTTCTTAGTTATCCTTAGACCAATTGATGCAGAAAAAATACTATAATGTTCCTTTAAGTCCAATTTTTCTGCGGCAATCCAACAATCAGCATTAAAAACAGTCTAGACTCACTGTAACATTTACAAATTACATGGAAAATAGGCCAAGGGATGCCATGGAAAGTGTATTAAATTCTAATGGAAATAGCGGACCAATGAATGTAATTCACAGAGAACACCTACCAAAGGCAGTCAAACTAAGTCCCACTGGAAGCAAAAGGTCATGATTAATGTCTTCCAATGATATTAAATGTGACTTAGTCAAGACTAATTTTAGATGAATCCTGCAAGGCCCACCTGGGCAAGTTGCTCCGGAATGACTAGAAATCCTGCAAAAACTCTGCTGTCCAAATGGCACACACAAATTTTATTTAACCAAGACACAAACAAGTAGTTCCTTGCATATTTTGTCATTTTTTCTAGGTTACAAAGGGAATCAAATGAATAAATGTGACAGGAACTTCATTGTACCATTCCGGTTCACTATATTGTTTTCAAGGTCTTTTTAAAAAGTTGATCATGTTAATATTTCCTCATTCCAGAATATAAACGGCAAAGACAAAATTATATTTTTGGTATATGAATGACAGCATATCACTCTGAAGAGCCAAATGCAATGCTTGATAATGCTGTTGTGTCTGCTACCTAAAATGTTATCTTTAACCCAATAATTTTTAAAATAATGATGATTTCTTAAATATCTTCCATCACACAACTGCATTAGCCATCAGATGTTTTTTGATTGTTTGGATTTTTTTTATTGTTAGGAGAGATGTGAGGGTCTTATTTTCTTTTAAGGGTACTTGATTCATGGCTGTACCAAGTGGGCTTCCTCCTCCATCAAGAGAAGGGTCCCCACAGTCTCGTTGCACTCAGGACTCGTATCCAATTGTAAACATGAATTTAGCATCCAGGTCTATTACATCTGGTATGCATATTCCATAATGATCTCTGCCTTTGTTCTCCCCTTTCTTCATGCTATCCCCAAGTTCTCTTTCATCTTTTCATACACCACGTAACTGATGCTGACAGCTGGGAGTACCTTCATGAAGTTCGGAGCTATGCCTCTATATAGTCCCAGGATCCCTTCCTTAGCAAGAATCCTTTGGAAGAGACCAACCATGCTTAGCTGAGGGCCACTTTCCACCATGGCTAAGGGAAAGGTAAGGAAAAAGAAACACAGATTAGTTGCCAATATCATTTAAACATTATTCTACTTAATCAAATAGACCCATTTCCTCAGAACATGATTAAAATAAAAATCACAGAGCAGAATTCCTTCTCATTATATACATTAAGTTTGCTTGGCGGCAACGTACACAAAAGTAGTGAACCAATTTTTAGGCACACGATTCTATGCAAGCTTAAGCAGGACTAAAGCATGTTCCAGCCAGGGCATATATTATCATATACATATAGCATACAGATAGGACATACAGTTATAAAAATTATTAAAAAGGTCTTTGTCTGGGATGATGTAGTTCTGACAGAGCAGAGTAGATACTGATGGGAGTATTCTAGAAAGGCAAGCAGACAGGGTGGTATAGTGGTTAGAATGTTGGGCTGGGGACCTGGAAGATCTGTGTTCTAGATCCCACTTGGCCATGAAGCTAACTGGGTGACTCTCAACCAGTCACAACCTACCTCACAGGTTGTTGTTGTGAAGATAACATGGAGGAGGACTATGTGAGCTGCCTTGGGTTCTTTGTAAGAGGGAAAAGGTGGTATGTAAATGAAGTGCAATACATTTAACGAACAACAGCTGTATGGATGATGACTTAGCCTAGAACTCAGTGGCCATACCAGTGGGAGGGCCTTACCAACTTGTTCCACACAGGTGCGTGATCTCCTGGGGCTCAACACCACCACTCACCTTGAGCCTGCATTCGTGTGCGAACAAGGGCAAGAGGATAACTGGCTAACTGGCCACAAGTACTGGATATGGTACCACATCCCAGCAGTACGAATACTCCTGGGTTGGCAGACTCAGTTGCGTATTTTTCTAGCCACGTCTTCTTCAAAGCCTGCCAAGAAAATATTGAGATAGTTCAAGGTCATCTACTTCATACCCAAAAGGGGCATAGTCAAGCCTTGGGAAGAGCAGCTGCAAGCAAATTTCAAACCCCAAAAGATCACTTCAAGGAATGTTTAGAGCCAATTGTGGTGACTTTGCTGGTGCAGATTTGGTACGTCCATTACTGAAATTATAAAAAGAGATATTGTTGGTGTGGGAGCTCTGCATAATTAACTAATATTCACAATTATCTGGCATACAATTTGCCCAGTGAGACAGATTCTAATAGTCTTTCATCATGCGCTTTATTAGTGAGCTTCCTAATACACCAATCAGCACACGTGGTGCTTCACGACAGAAGCGAAAGCAAAACAAATCCCCACACCAGCTTACCCTCTAAACTTTGATGGAGGAAAGGCAAGAGTGCTTTAAAAAAAGAACAGAGGAGGGATATAAAGCTAATAAATAAATAAATGCAATAGATGAGCTTAACAGTATACCAGAAGCTGGCAAGATTGGGCATTGGTTAGGGCTCCAAAGACCCACCAAACAGAATGCGCCTGTAATAAATGCACCCAGACCCAGCAGTGGCCCTGGCTCACTTGCTGTTTTTGCCTTGGCTGGTGCTCTTTGCAGAAGCATTAACACATTCTCACTCCGCCTGGCCTGGCCTGGCCTGGCCACCCATCTTCCTGAATGGTGGAAGAAAATAGGAGAAGAACAGGGGTAGGGAAATCAAAGGATTGCATGCCTAGGAGCTGGGGCCAACTGCAAATCCTATGTGTCTACCCAACACAAGCAGCACCATCTCTACCAAGCTGTGTCAACTCCAGTAAAAAAAAAAAAAAAAACCAAACTGATCTGTTTCCAGCTTAAATTAGTTAGGGTTATTAGTCATTAGAATCATGCTTGTGGGACCAGCAAAATAAATGAAGTTTCAAGGATGTTGATAAGCAGTGTGAAGTTCTAGCACATGTTAATTATCATTTGTAAAGATCACTTATGTAGATTGGCAAGGAATTAGACTTAAGTAGTTAGCAAAGCCTTCTCAGGGCATTACAGAACAAGAAAGCATGACAGCAGCTAATTAGAGTCAGCAGAGAAGATGGCTGACAGGTAGCATATGCTGCAAACAGTGGTGCAAAATTAATTCAGAATGAAATGTGCTGAAATGTGTGCAGATTAATGTACTGCAATTGTAATGAGAGGCAGCTGTGTTGTAAACTGTAACAGCCGTGGAGCCAGGTAATGGGGCATGGCCCTCCGAACGCATGCAGATGGAGCCCTGCACCATGGACCGCAATCCTTTTATGCAGCCAAGAAGAGGCAGTTGGAGACTTCCGCTTTGGTCTTAGCCAACTATGGTTTGTTGTGGCATCTGATCCAAGGATCACGGTGGCCAGCAATGGTGGGAGGTCCAGGGGCTATTTCTACCCCCTGCACCTCCATGGGCCGCACTGTTAAAAAGAAAGTGGGGAAAGTAACTGAAGAAGTGCCAGTTTGCAAACTGCTCCATAGAGCTAAACAGGTGAAACAAGGGATCAGTGTTAGTCCAAATGCATCACTCTGCTGTAGGAAACACAGTGGTATTGTGACAGCTGGAAAACCTACATGTTTGTGGTGAACTGCTGGGAACAATAGATGGCAAAAGAAGGGGACGGCAGAAGATAAGGTGGCTAGATGGAGTCACTGAAGCAGTCGGCGTGAGCTTAAGCGGACTCCGGGGGATGGTGGAGGACAGGAAGGCCTAGAGGAATGTTGTCCATGGGTTGGACATGACTTTGTGACTAGCAACAACAACAACATAGTCTATTTTGTGAAGTGATAGCCCAGGTTGGCAGGTAGAACATACAGACACCCACAGAGAGAAGATCGAGAGAGAGAAGGAAGGTTCTGAATCCTGGGCTTGAAAGGTTATGAAATGCAGACCCATACAAGATAAAATGGTGATCAATTAACATAGCAAGAAAGGGAGTCTACACATGAGCATACAAACGTCTGTGGACAGAAGAGGAGACCCAACCACTCCAATCAGCGGCCACAGAATACTGTGTCTGAATGCCCAACATCAGAACCTCCAGGCAAATAAAAATGAATGAATTAGCATATTAGAGAAAGGATGCTTGCTAGCTCTCTGCTATGTTGCCTTTCATTACTCAAAGTTGCACTGCCAAAATCCTCACTTGCTGTCAAAAAAGAAAGCACCTGTTGGGATTCTGTTTGATCCATCTGCAGTGGTGTCCCCAGTGCAGGATCAATCCAACTATTACTCAAGCTAGATGTTGTCAATTTTTACTCCAACAGATAATATTTGATTACCTAGTTCCATTATAGAGGCAAAATATACAGTAACAGTACTTGTTGCAAGTTTTCCTAGATTTGTACCACTTTAGACTACAGAAAGATCTAAAGTGGTACAAATTTACACTCCTGGCATGTCTGAATGTTTAAGCGTAATTTAAAAACCTACCTGAACATAAAAGACAAACATGCCTGGAGAAAGTTCTTACATGAAGACCTATTCTAATGCGTGATCCTTCAACTACAGTCTGAAGTGGCAGAGTCCAGAAAGGACTAAGTCATGTGTAGATTCTCAACATCTGACCTGGTTCTCAAGAGCAAGAGGTAGCAGAGCAAGAGACCAGTCCTACATCTTCAGGTTCCCATCCCCTGATATTATCTGCCCACAGAGGACTGGATGGAGTGGGAGGTCACCAAGACAAAGAATTCTCCATCCCTGGAGTACAGCATCCAGTGAAAGATATTCAGGCATGGGCATGAAGAGGTGCTCCTTCAAGTATTTGGGTCCCAAGCCATTTAAAGGTAAACTGGGCTCTGAAAAAAATCAGTAAATATCTGGCCATGCTTGACTCCAATCCAGAGACCACTGCTAGGATGATGATCGTCTTTTAAAACTCTGTTGGACTACTCCAGAGTATATAGCTGGAGCAGAAGAAACCAAAATGACCTATGAATAATAATTTCATTTTTATTCTGCCTTTCTTGCAGGGAGTTCTGGGTAGGACAAATAAGGATTAGTTCACTTCTACATGGGGTATTTCCTACCAAGCAGACCCATCCAGCAGTTGACCCAGAGAGACAGAGTTAAACGGGCTCAATAGCTTCCCTCTTTCTAGGGAAACAAGGGAATTTGCAGATATACTAAAACCTTTTCATTTCCCCATTGTTTTAATGTTTGATTGATTTTAACTGCAGTTTTAGTGTATCAATGGTCGGATGCTTTGAGGCTGTTTTATTCTACTTATTTATTTATTGTAAGCTGTCCCAAGATGTTCTGTAGGGTACAGGACAGCACAGCTTTTAATTAATTAATTAAACTAAATGTCTGTGAGGAAGAGCTGTTTGTCCAAATTCTTATCAGCAGACTGCAATTCCAAGAAGGCTGATTCTTTGGGGAATGCATATTGGTTAAATGGTATCGGAGTAATTTATGTTTGTAACATAGATAGACTAACAGTATCTTACTCATAGTCACCCAATGAGTAGAAATCTGAACTGGGACTCTTTCCAAACCATGTCTAATACTCTATCCATTATGCAGTGCTACTTCAGTAAGACTGTCACAGGGCTTACCCATAAATTCAACTCACCTCATATACTGCCAGGTCTATGCCAGCATAAGGAATTATGCCCAAAATATTGGGAATATACCCTTTGTAAAAAGCCTTCACACCTTCTCTTTTTAAAATCTTCTTGGCACAGTCAGCCATTCCAGAGTACTGTCCTGTTTTACCCACAGCTAGCCTGGTTTTCAATACCTAATGGGTGAGAAAAGATTTGAGGTTAAACACATTTCCACCAACTGCTCCAATAAAAATACTCTGTAGTAGAAACATGTCCAAAAGGGGGCTAACCATTCAACCTCCATCACTGTTAAGTTTCCTACATCCCTGTTAAGTAGAAGACCTCAATTTCCTCAATATCTGCAGGGAGACAAATTTTGCAGGTCCCTCCAAGAAATTTCTGACTCCTGTTGCTGATAACTTCTACAGAAAGTAGAGGAAGGAAGCAGAGAATCAGCTATCCTTGACTTGATTCAAGGATGACCTAGTGAATAAAGTTGCAGTTGCAGGAACTCTGGGGGAAAGTGATCATGTCATACTTAAATTCTTGAGCTAAAAGAACCCAAGCCAGGTATAGCCAGATGTGTATCTTGGACTGTAGGAAAGCTAGTTTTCGTAAACTCAGAACAGTAAGCAACTGTAATGAGAAAATGAGTCTAAGGTGAGTGAGAATTTTTTTAAATGGAATTCTAAAGGCACAATTACAAACAATTCCAAAAAGAACAAAAAGGAAGAAGACGGCAGAAGACACCAATGTGAATTCACAAAAAGCTTAGAGATGATCTGAAAACAAAAAAGGAAATGTACATGAAGTGGAAAGAAGGCCAGGCTGGACAGAAAGATTACAAGCAGGTAGCACAGAGTAACAGGGATGGAATCAAGAAAAATAAACCTGAAAATTTGTGCAAAATGTGTGCACTTTAAAAGTGGAACTCCACATGACTGCATTTCCTACCAAGAGCTGCTTCTCTGAAAGCAGATGAACAATGAATGGAGCATTTTTACAAACTAAGCAAATCGCCCAGTACTTACCTCCATAGGATAGATGGAAGTCTGTGCCGTTGCTCCAGCCAGGGAACCAGATATAAACCTTTCCACTGTTCCTATCTTTCCATCTTCATTAATGAACATTTTCTTATACTGTATATGAGAGGGGGGAATTCGGTATTCCTTATAGAGTCACAAATGGCAGACAGAGGCTATTTTGCAGTCGCACAAATCCAAACATAGAAGCATAGAAACAGAGCGAGTCCGAAGGGGCCTCCCAGGCCATCTAGTCTGACCTCCGGCTCCAGCCGGCTCCGCTCACGACATGCCCACTGCTGGTGTTCTGCAAGGTACTTCCCTGCACACCATCAGCTCACTTTGCCACAGCGCTGTCGCCTCTCCCTCCCCACCATGCAATTGCCAAACCCTGGTGGAAAAGCAATGCCTTTGATTTTCAAGATCCACTGAGCACATCCTCATCACAGTATCGACCACACATCAACTGAAGGATGCACAAACAGGCATTCTTTATGATGGCTCCATGTTGCTCTTCCCCAGATATATTTAAGTGATAGCTCTACAAGGATGAGGGCCGGTTTATCCCCACACTGTTCCTGAACAATGTGCAACCAGATTAACTTCAGGATTGCCTCACCTATTACCAAAAGCAACATTTCTAAGGGTGCCCCAAACTCCTGAAATTCACCTTTATCACCTTCTCAAGGGTCATTAGACAAGACTCCACAGCTCTAATGTTTAGACACCTGTTGAGGCTCCCTCTTTTCACAAAGACTTTCTCTGATGTGTTGCTTGCGTGGTCTACAGCACAAAGAGTGTGCAGTTTTACTGTTGTTTTCTTACCGCATTATTTTCTTTTGCTAGTTTAGCTTTATGCTCACTGCCTTCATACTTCTGTGGAAAGCAGTATGTACATTTGAATCATGGTCATCCGTGGAAAGACTTCCTCAAGCCCTACACTTGGTCCCTACTCGCTCAACTTTTCAAAAGAGTATGAAGAAGCCACAACTTTTTAAATTTATCCTGATAAACTGTATAGCTATTTTACTATTATACTTTTTATCACTGTAAGGTTTTATCATTTTAAATTCTTTGCACCACCTAGATGGCTTTTTAGCAAATTAATTGGTTCAGAAATGCATCTAACCATTCCAAAATGACAAAGACTGCTGCCATTTTCTCCCCTCTTTGCTGCATGTGCCACAGAATCACTTGTAAGTGATCTGGAACTAAACAAGCAAAGCATTTAGAGTATGTATTTAAACCAGAGTGGTAAAGAGAACACTAAGTTCCCTGCAGCAAGTCCAAATTCTCCCTCCATGACTGGGTGAATGCTGTGCATGTTACTCACCCTCTCTCAAACTAACCCTCTGCCTAAGATCATTGCAAGAAGATGGGCTTATCCTGCATGAGCTATCCTGAGCCACTTGGAGAAAGAGCAGGGTATCAATGTGACTTTTAAAAACACATTTTGGGTGCAAACATATGCCTTTTTAGACAGGAGAAGCATCCTACAATTTAAAGCATCCTGGGGAAGCTTCTCAGGCTTTTTTCTGTCTAAACACATCTTCTGATGCTTTAATTTTTAGAAGAGGTGCCAGTTTCAAAAAGCAACACAGTTTGTTCCATCCCAGGAGGGTACTTTCTCCTATAGGAGGATTACTTCTTTACATAACCTGCTAAAGCTGATTCAGAGGTAAATATAACTCTGAAATCCACAGTGGGGCTGTCTTACTCTTGTTCAATGGATTCTGACCTTAAAAGAATCCTGTACATGGTGAGGAGGATGGGCTTATCATGCATCAGGTCACCATATAAAATCGGGCAACAAGTAACGCTAAGGACGCAGCACACAGATAAGAACGTGCAGTACATAGCAAAACATGGTTACGTCCTGCTCCAATAAAATATAAGTGGTTCAAACTTTTTTCTGCACCTTTTTTTACCTCACTCTAATTGAGAAAAATAATATAACTGCACAGGGTTAATGGAACTGCATTAATATTCCCTCCATTTAAGTCCAATCCCTTTGTTTAACATCTTACCCGTTCATACGCCCAGAACTTGATAGCAGTTTCAGGTGCAATTTTAACCACATTGACCCCATTCCCTCTCCATAATGAACGAACTCCACCTTCTTTCACCATCTGCTGCAATCCACCTTTTATGTTCATTTTCCCCTTTGAGCCATGAACCTGTATTTATCAAAGAAAGGGCACATGTAATTACCTGACCCTCATGAAAAGCTTTGATGACAATAAAGCCTTTGTCTTTTTCAACAGAGGAATGAAGTGAACAAGCCCATTGAGACGAGTAAGAATTATTTCAAGTGCTGCACTATCATTCGCTCTCCTAACTTATGTCTTAAAGTAAATTTAAGACTACATGTTAGGCCAAGGAGTGGTACTCATGGCCATTCCTTTTGGTATCTGCCAGGCTCTCTGCCTCCCTAATCTATATTTTATTTGTTGAAGTTATTTATCTTTAAAAAAAATAGGAGGCAGAGATGCTCCGAAGCATTGTGCTGTCTTCCAGCGCCATCTTTTGCATTGTGTACATTTTGCGTGTTTAATATTTTTACTCTCGAGTTCATTTGCTTCTTGCTTAACGCATTCTTGAGAGACTTAATATTCATCACATTTGCCTTATTTGAATTCAGCTGTGATTTAAGATTATTGTATTTCCACACTGCATCTTCACTTCCATAGTCTGAGGCCATTGTTTTTAGAGGCTTTAACAAGTAATGTTAAAAGATCATTACATTCAGAAAGAAAATATTTAATATGAGCCAAGTCCAATGATTAAAGGAGAAGCAGTGTATTTTCCCTCGTTCGAGCATTTTAGCAAAATAGCTGTCCTTTGTTCATTTTTTCCTCTGTCAACCTCTAACCTAGTTACCTGTTTTAGCATCAAGTCATTCAATTCAGGTGACTGTTTATCTTTCTCAAACAATTTCAAGTTTGAGTAGTTCCAACCCAAGCCAATTCCACAGGCAGGCTTAGAGAGTTAGCATCATCCACCCACTTTTCATGGGATTGCCCTTTAAGATCCAAAGATCCTAAGATGGTCTTCAAAGAAACAAAGATGTTTTCAACCATTACTTCCTCTTCATCTTTCTCTTCTTCCATAATGGAAAAAAATAGGGTGGATTTGAGTTTTGGAGCTCAAACACCTACTGAAGTTCCTGGATAACTTACTTTTCTTTCAGTCTTACCAGTATGTCTTCTGGGAAATAAGTATTTTTTGACCTCCATACACATCTTGGCAGGGGCAAGCCCCACCATGACAGCCATGTTGAGGCAATCCCAACATTCCTCAAAATTCCCAATGTGTCCACCAAAAAAGAGCCAATTTAAGCAGAGCTCTGCAATTCATCTGCACTGCTATTCACTTGTCTAGATTCTTTTAAACCCTGAAGCAGACCAGAGCAAGCTGCATCTGAAAAAATGACAGGAAGGAAGAGACTGACTAATGCTCTTGCCCTTCCTGCCCATTTTCTGTTCAAATTTGTCCTTGCTAAGCTGCTTCTTCACCCACTGGAGTCTGAAAGAAAGATATAGGAAAGATCACCTTTCACCATCACAGATCAATAAGTAGCCTGGGGTGAATGATTTTGAGCAGATAAAAGATGGGAAGGAAAATACCAAGCACCCTCTTAGACTCATGCTTCTTTCAAGCAGATCTAAGTTAGTAACAAACCAAAGCTCAGGACTCAGCAAAATATTAAGCTTGATCTGCAAATAAAGTAATAAAAGCACCAGACCCCCATGTCATGATTTGTAACAAACGGGACCTCCAACTCAGGTCGACACATCAAGATTCCCGCCTGGCCATTACAAAGATACATGTTTGGTGTGGTTTTTCTCCCATTATGTGAACTGACCCCATCTTCCTTCAGATTCTTCCTCAAACCTCAGCCCTCCTGCGCAACTCAGCATGACTGTGACTGTTCCATGTGCTTAGATGTGGAACTTCTTAGGACACAAAATAATGGGATAGAGGGGTCCAATGCAAACAGACAGAAGGCACACTTAATTTGAAAAATTAAGAACCCCCAACCACTTTCCCACATCAGTGGCTTACTTCTTCGTTTCTCCTCAGCAGAAGTATGACCCCAGAAATCACCTTGGCTGATTGGAGAGAGGGAGTTGCACAAGGAGGTAATCAGCAGGCAGTGGGAGTTTTCCACCAGCTCCAGGACCTTTCTGAGTTTTCCAGCCTTTCTTTGATATTATTTCCTGTCGTGTTCCTTAATGCCTCAACTGGCCATGCCATTTTTGTAAATGTGCTACGCTGCAGTTCCACATATCTGAATTATAAAGTTCCACTGGATGTGCGCAAGCCTCTGGGTATGGCATTCTTGCTGCAGCTTTCTGGATTCCGGCTGCTGGGCTTTAAAAGACCTACCTGCATCATCACTTTAAGGCGGTCCAGCGGTGCGGTACCTGTTCGAGAGACAGCACCAGCAACCCCTCCGGACAAAAGCTGCTTCCACCACTGACCACTCTTTTTCTCCTCTTCAGTAAATTCATCTGGGATAGTTAAACTATCTCCGATGTCCAATACCTGTAAATATGCAGAGCAGAGGGGGAGAGAGAGAGAATCAGCTGTTGAATTAAGCAACCCTGTATTTAACAGAAAGCCCAGTTATTTAAAAGCTCATACAACACTGTGCAGATTAAATTTTTAAAAAAGAGGAAGGAGGCATGCATTTTTCTTCCTTACAACATCCAAACCAATACTAACTAAAACCCACCATTTCAAAAACTGTACCATCATCATTAAAAATGATAATAAATTGCCGCCTTGAATACGGCTGTAATAAAGACATTGCATTGGCAAATGCAATACTTTCCAGCAAGTGCTGAAATATCAGCAGTTACAAAGCAGTGTCAGACTTTCTTCCAGGCAGACTGGAAGGATTAACAAGATTAACCTCTTGACAATTTCCTAAAAAGATTATTGGTTCAATGACTTGGTAATTCATCCAAGTATTTTTACCTCTATCGAATTACGACATTATTCTTTTTCTTTCTGTTGCTGCTGCTTCTACTGCAACATAATTTGGCAAATCTATCATATGGGTACCTCCCTCATTTTCTACTATGATTCAAGTATTGTATTTTGGTATCTTTACATGTATAAAACACAATCTAGCAAATGTTGTATTCGTCAAAGCCCATTGCTTTCCGTTATAATTAATAGTTTCCATATTTCTTCACTCATACATGTATGCAAACTCACATATATACATGTATAGCTGACCAAAATGGAATACACGCAGTCCTCGGGTTACAAATGAGTTCCCTTTGCGAGAAAATAGAAATTCATCTTTAAGTCAAATTTGTATGTAAGGAAGGTCATGCATAGTCAGCCATCCACAACTGTGGGGGTTAGGGGTGCAGGAGCCCCATGAAAGTCAGAAAACCGCAAATATTTCTACCTTGCCCCCCACTGCCTGAACTCACTACTGCCTCCTCTTTGCATCAAGGAAATGCCAGAGTGCCATCTCCGGATCAGCAGGGCAGGAAGGCATGCTTTGGTGGCCTCCCTCTCTCCCCTTTCATTTTCCTTCTCTCTCTGGTGATGCTTTGGAAGCCCTCCCTCTCTCCCCTTTTGCTTCCTCTCTCTCTCTGGTGCTGACAATTTTCTGCAGTATTTTTTAAAACGAATAAGCTTTATGGCAGTTCGTTTGCAAGTAGGGGTTGTTCATAACTCGAACATTAGTAACTTGGGACTGCCTGTATTGGAATCTTCTGCAGAAACAGGCTACATGAGACAGATAATGCACTGAGGAGAAATGAGCTCAAGATAAGAGATGGCAGTGAAGTTTGACACTTCCAAGTTCTGTCGTAACTCAGACATTTACAAAATTCATTTGGGATCCGGTACTTATTAAGACGCTGAACAGAGAAAGAAACACCTGTTTTGATTGTTTAATATAACTTTATCAGGAAATTATGGTTTGCTCAATCAGGAATGGTAGGGAAATGGTGAGGTGGTCCCTGGAGACCTAAGCACCACTGGGTACCTGCAAGTTTCAATGGTTAGGATACACCTTGTGAGAGGTATACAGTTTTAAGTGTGTTATCAGGAGACTCATTGTCCAAGCAGATATATTACCTATTTCAGAGGAAGAAGGAAGACAAACAGCTTCATTTCTGTTGGCTACTGTCAACAAGAAACCTACAGTGGGCAGTGTTTATTTGAGTGTCTGGTTACACATTCAACATGGAATAATTGCCCATGGATTACCCACCCAACACTGGATGCCCATAATCCTCTGAGTTCAGAGATGTGCCAGCAGATGCATTGGATAGTACCCTTAAAGAGTTATCCTTAATCTGGAGTAAATACATGCAACTCTCATACAGGCAGGGGCCAAAGAGGAGGATCAGACCTTCCCCAGTCCCCGTCTGCTTCCCCAGATCTCATCCCCAACCTGGGTGTGTTTGAGGAAGTGTTATCAAAAGGAAGGAAACCTCCCCTGGTCAGGGAAGCCACCAGAAAACTTTGTGGATTTTTACAGCAACACTGTGTGTTAATACAACAGGAAAGTTGCTGTCACAATGCTGCTCTAAGAGGGAATTTTTTGACAAAAATTACTTAAGCAAGCAAGAAGGCAATTATTTTTATATAAAGAACTTAAATACAGACTTTCATTTTCATCATTCATTAAGCAGAATACATTGGGGGACTATTTTCCATTACAATTACCTATTTCATTATATAATTCAGTAGACCCCAAAGACTTTTCCTGAAGTCGTAATTACGGATAATGTATGTATATTTTAAATAAATTTAAAGCCACTGTCTCAATCTATCAATCACACTGATATTTTAATTTTAGAAATCAATATTCCCTCTGCTTCAGATCTGATGCCACTTTCAAATTGAAGCTGCATTGAATTCCAACTCTGTCAAAAGGTAGCCAGCAGGGGGCAGTGTGTATGCGGCAGAGCAGTACCATTCGGCTCTGAATGACGTTCAGCCCAGCAGCTGGACTGTTTCACAGTACTGAACCCCGGGAACGCAGAAACACATCAGTTAACTAAGGTCAAAAACGTGCATTTATATTTTCAAGAATATTCTAAATGAAGCGCCTCACAAGTGTTCATCATGAATTATTACTTAAACGGAGTCTTCAGAAACACATCCCTGCTCACCTAAGTTAATCAACAGATTTGATTCTCTTCCCAGGATAATTCTCTTTCTTTATCTTTTATGAATCACACACTGGCTGATTTAGTGGCGGGACCTTTGTGCTCTCAACTGCAACTCTACTGTGAATGATCACTGTGAATAATGCAATTGCGTCCTGCATGTAATTTCTGTTCACCATTGCCTCCCCATCTCCACCAACTGCAGTGGGACCTCGGCTCATGGATGCCTCAGTTCATGACCAAATCGGGTTGTGAACAGAAATTTCATAAAAATTTTGCCGCAGGTCGTGAACTCTGCATTGGGTGATGAGCGCGAGCGCGCTGCCTTCCCTGCACGATCGGGTAACAGGCACGATCGTGGTCGTGCTGGGGGGAGAGATGGCCGCATTCGTGCTGGGGGAAGATGGCCACGATTGCACTCGTGTTCCCTGCCTGAGCGCACCTGCCTGCCTTCCCCCCGCAGTGCACCCGTGTCAGTCTCACCCCCAGTGTGCCCGCAATCATGCCCATCTCCCCCCCCCGCACGATCACTGGTGGGGGGCGATGGCCGCGATCTTTGTTGTTCTTTGTCACTTTGCTTCACATTTCTGTGAGTAAAAAAAATAGTTGCAGAACGGATTAACCTTATTTACATTGACCCTTACGGGGAAATGTGACTTGGCTCACGACCAATTTAGGTCAGGACCAGAGTCCTGGAACAAATTAAGTTCGTGAGCCAAGGTACCACTGTATATGTAGTGCATATGCAGTTGAAACTCTTGACATTCTCCATGCCATAGTCTATGACAGCTTGTGGCAGAATAAGTCTGGAAGACTTTACAGATTTTTGCTGCAGCCATTAACATGGCTACCCACTGGAAACTCCCTGCCCAAGATGGCTTGTGCATCCCTTTTGCACGGTGAATTCTAAGAGTTCACCACAGTTTTCCAGTTTGGAACATGGGAATGACTCCTATTGATTTCCACAGGACTTATTTTCCAATAGATGAGTACAAGGGTTGCATTTTAAGAGGAATTTTTCCTGAAATCAGTCCATTTCTTCTACGGGAAGAACACACAGGATTGCTGCCAAAGCAGAGAACACCGCACGGCAAGAGACCCCAATCAATGGGCACATGAGGATTTGAGACATACTGTGGGCACCACTACAAAATAGCTCCCATTTCAGAGGTGCCACGGGAGCCTGGAGAGCTTGTGGGGCACCCCTGAAGGTTCCACAGATGCCATGATGCCCCTAGAGGGCACACTGGGGAACCCTGCTAGAGGGGCATTTGAATGACCCTTGCCTCCTTTAGGAGTGGCGTCTTTGCATTCCTCCAGTATTTTCTCCTGTCCTGGTCAGTAGCACTGCTGAGAGGAGGACCTTAATGTGCCAGTACAAACATGGTCTACAGCATTTAAGCCAAAGCGCAGTTCTGTATTAATGGGAATCACAGAATCGGCCAAACAAGAAATTTATAGAAGACATTACAACAGAACCGTATATTGTGCTTTGTAATACAAGTAACTTGCATCACATTGCTAGGGAGGGAGGAATTGGTGCTGAGTCTCTCATGGAGTGGATCATGCCCCAGCTCAAAACACGTTACACATGTCCTCACTAATCCTTACAGCTCTATAAAGTAGACCAGTGTTATTAGCCCTGTATTACAGATGGTGGAGGTAAAGGGGCAGAAGCTTACTAGTTGTAACTAATACAGAGCAAACACAAACGGTAAGCTCACCCTCTTGGTTCCAGTTGTTATTATTTATTATATTTATATTCCACCTTTCTCCCTTTGTGGAACTCCGAGTGGCTACATGCAGCTCTCACCTGGTCTCGCCTCCAAGTTCAGGCCAGCCCTAGACCTGCTTAACTTCAACATGGTGGATGCCTTATGTGCCTTCAGACCATTCTCTGGTAGTTATGTTTACCCATAATTAGAGTACAAGAAGCAAAAATGCAAAAAAAGCTCCTGTCGTATGTTTTCAGAGGTTTAGCAGCTATGCTCATCACCTGGGGAAGACGGACTATAAACTGTGACAAGGTCTGGTGTTTCCACACTGAGTAAATAAAAAAGTAATCATGTTTGACTCATAGTTTCTATACTGCAATTAAGCTAAACTGCACTTTGAGGAAAGGCTGCCTGCTTTGATTATGCCAAAAAAAAAAAAATACCCCATTTTTTAAAGAACTGCAAGGTACTTGCTTTGTCCGCAGCATCTTGTCACAGCATCCCTGCGCTGCTATGACAACGGCATTCAGGTGATCATTACCAAAGGCTACTTGCACACATAGGGGCACCTGCTACTTCTAAAGATAATGGAATACTCTTTATCTAGGAAAAAGAGTGAAGTTATTTAAAAGATTAACTATGAGCTCTCCAGTGCTCCCTTTGCTCTAGAAGCATTTGTCTCATTCATCCAGCCAGGATCAGCATGACTTGTAACTTCACAAAGCATATAATTTTTTGTGAACCTTTAAAACTTTATTGACTCTTTGGCTCCCTGGATTTGTACCTCCTTTCTCCCCAAAACACAAATGTAGAGCCAAATATTAAAGTACTCCTTTGAGGGGAATTTACTTTGGGTATTCACCCACTGGACTCAAAGTTGTCAAGAATTCCTAGATTAAAACAACACAAGCTCTATCAGGGATGAATAACTTCATAAGCAAATGCATGAGACAACATTTAAATAAATACAGTTAATAACAGAACCATGATAAAAATTACAAAACATACTCACTGTGGAATGTTTCCAATAACGGATGATTCCTTCAATGTCTGTAGCAGGATTAAACAAAAAATGGTCCCGCCATTCATTCCAGTCCACGGACATCGTCCCATCAGCATCCATGCTAAAAATTCAGAGTGGAATGATCAGCATTTTGCCCACTATTCTGCCAGATTTCTTTCTTTGAATAATGAGCAAGAATCTTCACTTGGAACGTTCTCATTCAGTACATTTGTTTTGCCCTCTGATCCCACAGATCAGAATTCTTGTTTGTCCTTTCAAGGATCCTAAGGGGTAGATCATGACTATTCCAATTTTTCCCTTATGAGAAAATGAGATAGACAAATGTTGACTTTTCCGACTGGATAGTAACCCAGCAAATCCACATAGCTGAAAATGAATTTGAACTTGGGGCCAAACTGAGCATTCTACCAGCACTTAATCAGTGTGTTCTGCAGGCATTCCAGTTCATTGAAAGGTGCATTCAAAGGGGAAGATTTTTTAAAGTGTTCCCCAGCCTGCTAATGATTTTCACAAATGGAGGAAATAATTACACCATAATCCATCTACTGTCATTTTTGGTACTGCTCCACCTATCTTTTTCCCAAGGTAAACTCTCCAACCACACTAAAGAGCTTCAATAGCACCTCTTGCGCTATTAGTCTTGACACACATCTTGCTTTGTCTTTCTGTTCATTTACCTGATTCCATTGCAGACATCACACTTAAACGTGGACTATTGTTATCCTCACTCTAGTTAAGATTAGAAAACCTAATCTAGGCTTCCAAAGAGCATATAAAACAGCCTTTCTGGTGCCCTCCAGATGTTTTGGACTAAAATATCCATCACCCTTGACCAGGCTGATGAGTGCTGTAGTCCAAAACATCTGGGGAGCAGAGGCTACCAGCGGACTTCCTTGGACCCTGCAATGAGAGAGTCTGGGAAGATGTGATGTAATCAATAAGCATTGATATCCAGCACAGCAGCATCATGAAACTCCTCCTACATGATCCCCAAAGAGTGGTCCCATCCACCATGACCAGGAGCACTCTTCTCTTTATATCTATCCCAACGGTGTTGGGTCTCACTCATTAACAAGTATTATCAACTCCACAGCATTCCCCAAACTTTTACCAGGTGTACAGGGTGGTGAAGAGTGGAAACTTAAAACTGGAAGTGCATTTCACTGTTCATGGACATGTTTTGATGAGCCTCCAGCTTTACTACAGCTATAGCCTTGCCCATTTTATTGTGTCTCCTGGCATCCCAACTCCCATTGATCTAGCCAGAACTAAAAGATGAGGCTATGTGCCTTAGGGACAACAGTGATGCTTCTAGGACCCCTTCGGGCCAGTATCCTTATGTCTTTCTTCAAGACAATGTCCCTATCTATACAAAGGCAGACAGCAGCAGACACATCCAAAAAGGTGGCTTCATTTTCCAAGGTACCTCTCAGCCTTTCATATGGTACACTCTATTAATCCAGGAAATAGTAGCAACTGCTGACCTTTGGAGAATCTTCTGTGCCTGCTTTTCTGAAATATTTATACCCAATATCTTGAGGGACGCCACAATCTCTGATGCATCAATTATTCCTTTACAAAGTAGAGAGGGAGAGAGGACAGGAGATGAAAGACAAAATAATGAAAGGTTCTACAGCTTCTGGTAAATTGACTTTACAGACTTTAAAATATTGGCTTCTATTATAGAAAGTCAAGAGAGAAGCACCAGGAATAGGGTGAGGAGAAACACTTTCTTTTGAAAGGGTAATTTCCTGCATTGATCATATATAGGAATTACAAGTCTACCAGTAATCCTAAGAGAACTTTAATATAGCAGTGATTGAAATCAGGATCCTACCATCGTTGTTTTTGTCCAGACTTTTAAATGCCAGTTTCATTTTCTTCTCATGATCTTTAAGATAATGTGTAAATTCTTCAAAGTCAAGCCTGCCATCCTGGTTAGTATCTCCAGCTTTGAAAATTTTCTGTTCAAAAAGTGGACATTGAAGAAGCATTATTAATGATGCCTATCTCATTTTCCAAAACAGAGTTGTTTTCATATGTTGCAATAAATGATCCAAAATTCCCTAAAAAGGTATAAAAAGCATAAATGCAGCCTGGTATTTACTTAAACAGGAATCTCTTCTTGACCAAAGCTTACCACAGAAAAATTATAAGGGCTACTTTCCAACTCATAGCCATATACACCTTTACTCCATTTGCATAACCATAGAGTGGCATTCAGCCACAATACTAGTGAATGAAGATCTCATTAAGATATTCATATGGTTAAATATTGATTTGTCAAGCGATTACCAAAGTGCAGGTTCTGATGTCTCATTTTCCCAACAGGCTGGGCTCCAGAGCAATTCTTAATGGAGCAATACACATAGGAATATTAAATATGAATTGGTCTGCTGGACCAGACCAGCCAGTCTCTCGACTTGCTTTTCTTAAGATGGCATCCTCCAGCTATGTGGGCCATCAAGCTCGAGCAGGGTGATAAGTCCTGCTTGTACACTCTTGCTGGATGGTGTCCAGGTGCTACCTGAAGATCCCCACATATTTAACCCTGGAGTAATAATTCAGCATGAATCCCTTCAGAGAAATTGTTCCAAAAGTATTCGTGTGTGTTTTAGAAGTTGAGAAGGGTCATTGTTTTGAGTATGTTCATCCCACATTCCCCAAAGCTTTCTATCTACTGAGTTACACTTGAATTGTTGCAACATCGCTCAAAGAAACCAGAACACTGATGTACCCATATGAGACAGAGAAGAAAAGCAGCGATAAGGCAACACACAACTTAGGCGGCCCATCTTAACAACTGGACATACGAACATTCTTCCCTTCTGCCAGAAAATCTCTATTAACTCTTTATATTAGGCACAATGCAAAAAAAAAAAAAAAACCCTGCATACAAACCAACATCAGAAAAGGCAGCATTCAGAAACAGAGGAGAAAGAACTTCAGCCTCCAGAGACATTCTGCTCTGGAGGAGATCAGGCTGCTAAAATGTCTCCAATTAGCCTCTCCCAACCTGACGCCCACCAGATGTTTTTAGCAACAACTGCCAACATTTCAACCAGCCATTGCTAGGAATGCTGGGAGTTGTAATCCAACCCATTTGGAGCATACCATGGTGGAAAAGACTGATCTAAACAATACAGTGAAATAAGCAGACTTAGTTGTGCCCAGTGCTCAAAGAAGGCAGTGCTCAGAATGGGTCAAGTGCACTGTTCTTTCTTCTAGGAAGAAGGTGAATATACATGTTTTGTATAAAGTTAAATTAAAAATTAATTAATGTTAAATTAACCTTAAATGCAGGACCACATACACAGCTTTAAAAAAACACTGTTGAACAAACAGGTATAGGTTACATTCAAAAGCTGATCAGCAATAGGCTGAAAATATGCAAAAACAGTAATCTTCCTATACAAATTCTCTCTAATAGAGAATGATATTTGTTACCTTTGGTGTATGTCACAATGTGCATACTATGTATCAGAACAATGACTTGGATCCAAACTTCGTAGTGCTTAGAGTACACCTATTCACATTGATGGAACTTATGACTGATTTGCCCCATTGATTTCAGTGGGTTTACTGCAAACAGGATATGCATTCCTTGTCAATGCAAACAAATGCTCATTTGGATTAATCCACATTTGGGTGTGTCTGTCTATTCAAACAACATACTGAAAAGGAACCTGGTGGCTTCTTTGTTATAAATGAATTGAGTATCAGTGGAGTTGCTTGTGATACACACCTTATAGCAGCCTTCTCCAGCAAGGCCCCCCAAATTCCTGGGACTACAATTCCCAGCATTCTGCCTTTGGCTTATGGGAATTATCAGGATGGACAAAAGACAGTACTTCTTCAGGCAATACTTGGATCGTGACATCCAGTGCCAACTGATCTCATTTATTTACCAATTGTTTTTAAACCCCCTTCCTCCTTTGTGTGCAATACAGCAGTGTACAAGAGCAAGACCAAAATTAATTACACAATACAGAATGTTCAGTTGTACAACTGTTGCAATGAATGCCACTAGCTTGCATGACTTGCCCAGAGCACAACTAGCTTGCACACCTGCATGGCACTACGCCAGCAAGGAAATAGCCGTGATATGCAAATAGCTGAAAATAATGCAGAATTTTGTTGTTTTCTTAAATACAGGCTAATTTCTGTTCACAATCCCAAACCAACATCTTTTGACCTAGATCATGTACAACAGGTATTGCAACTGGTTCAAAGGCCAGTGTCAATTAACCCATGAAATGTTTGTGCTACATTAGCAGCACACAATTCATTCATAACTAATCCCAGTCATCTATTTTTCTGAAGAATAGTAAGGAACAATATAACAGAAGTTCAGACAGAGGCTGAAACAAGTGAAAAGCAAAATATCATTGCTATTAATATGTGATTATTAATGCGAGTTTCATTGTAACTTGTGAACACTAGTGTCTTCTCACAGGCACAAATATCTAAATGTAACTACACCACTCTGTTGTGAGCCGCCGCGAGGCTTCGTTGCAATGGGGGCGGCATAAAAATGTTTTAAATACATACACACATACACAATTTTGTGTATTGTTTATGATTATTTGATCCACATATTCCTTTTCTATTCCAGTCCTGAAAATGTGGTACTGCCTCAAATAATGCTGCTAAAAAGGAAAATATGTATCTTGCTCAGTTATGTAGTTGCAGGAGTAAGTTTGTCAATGAGAATGTGGTGCAACAGGTTTGGTAACCTAATATTGAAAGCTCTAGATTTTCATTTTCCAGTTAGTACACAGTTAAAAACAATTGTCTTTACAAGGTTAGTGTGATGGCAAACATAGGGTAATCCCTGCAGTAAGGCAGGTGCATTGCAAGTTCCATTAAGAAACAGCAAATTGTCATTTACTCACTGATTTTTGTATTTTATTTGTGCTGTGAGCTGCCCCGGGCTTTGGCAAGGGGCGGCATAGAAATGTTTTAATAAATAATAAATAAAAGAATTCATTATAACATTTTACTGCTATGGAGGCCACAGTTTGGATTTTCTGCCTCACGCACCAAAATGCCTTCTGGCCGCATTGCTACTATTAATTGCAACTATTAGAGGTGCCAATTAAACCTCGAAAATATAAATGCTCTCTCAAAATATTCAGGAAGGAAATGTTTTCTTTTTCCTCAAATCTCTAGTACATTCATTTATTCATTCATTCTAGATTTCTAGCCCACCTTTTCTTCTTTTAAAGAACACAAAGCGGCTTCCATTATTCTCCTCCAGCTCTCAGTCTTATTCCCACAAGAACCCTGTGAGGTAGGTTGGGCTGCGAGTCTGTGACTGGCCCAAAGTCACCCAGTTGGCTCCGTGGCTGAGTGGGGACTAGAACCCAGATTGTCTGAATCCCAGTTCCATGTTCTTAACCACTACACCACACTGGTTATCACTGAGATTACATGCTATTTCACATGATATTTAAGGTGTATCTATATAAGATGCAGGGGACTGCAGGTGGCGCAGTGGTTTAAACAACTGTGCTGCTGGGCTGGTTGATCGAAAGGTCACCGGTTCGAATCTGCACAACAGCGTGAGTTCCTGTTGCTCCGTCCCAGCTCCTGCCAACCTTGCAGTTCGAAAGCATGCAAATGCAAGTAGATAAACAGGTACCACTTCGGTGGGCAGGTAACAGCGTTCCGTGCACCTCGGTGTTTAGTCATGCTGGCCACATGGCCATGGAGACTGTCTGTGGACAAGCGCTGGCTCCCTCGGCTAGGAAACGGAGATGAGCACCACCCCCTAGAGTCAGGCATGACTGGACCTAACATCAAGGGGAAACCTTTACCTTTACCTTTTATATAAGATGTAGAACATGAATGTGACAGACATGGTCCCAAATAAATCTATCATGATGGCAAACCGGTCATTGGTCCATGATTAACCAGAGTTCTCTGTTGAGTGTACACTTCCTTTTGCACTCATATTTGCCTCTATGGAATGTTTGACACTACCATGACTGTTCTCACACTCACAGAAACGTTCTATCAAAGCTTTATTATTTCATTCTGTTCATCTCAGACACTGATCCTAAGGACAGATTTACACAGTAAGTCGGGTGCACATCTGCTGCCAGAAATGATGATCTGGCAGCAGATTCTCCTCTTTTGCTCCCCAACACCGTATAGTAAACAAGTGAATATGGCGTGATGCTCTCATGCTCCGAGGGCTCAGGATGCACTAAAATCACATCACCACTGCTCTTTCAAGTTGCTAGAGCTGGGGAAGTGGAGGGTAGGGGAAGAGGAGATGGGCCTGTTGTTTTTGGCAGCAGACTTACATTTAATGGGTTAAACGATTTTTTAAACAATGAAAGAATGTGTTTTTATCCTAAAAAAGAGAAACCAAATTGCTTGTGAAAATTGTAAAAGCACACTGCCATCAAACTAATTTTTAATCAATAAAATAACATCAGAACAGTAGAGGCCAAATTAAAACAGACTGACAGGAACAGAAGAGAAAGTTAAAAAGGCACCCTAGAGAGGTCCGCCTGGCACCGTCATTATATGCTTTTCAGCACCAGGTCAAGACCTTTTTATTTGACCAATATTTTAACATAAAGTAGTTTTAATTGTACTAGATTTATTTTATTTATTTTAAATAGGTTAGTTTTATGCTCAGTTGTGGAATAGTTTATTTTATTTAAAATTTGAAACAATGTTGTAAGCCATCCAGAGATGACAGTGATGGACAGCCTACAAATTTTCTAAATAAATAAATAAAATAAATAAAGAGTGAGTTCCCAAGGGTCTCCAGATTTTTTTTTTTTTTTTTTTCAATTTCCATTGCCTGGCAAGGGGCATGAAGGCCAGGTTAGCATCCCATGAGTTCCACCGTAGCATGATGACAACAAAGGCACTCAGCCATGTAACTGTCCATCCAACCTTGGAAAGCAAGAGGATAGAGTATATTACCTGGCAAATACCTAAGCGAACGTGCAAGTACACACGTACCTCCAGACAAGACGGAGGTCCTGTTGGTCGGCGGATCGGGCTTCGGGGAGGGTGAATTGAACCTAGTCCTGAATGGGGTTGCACTCCCTCTTAGGGACAAGGTCCGCAGCTTGGGAGTGCTCCTCTACCCAGAGCTTTCACTGGAAGCTCAGGTGACAGCGGTGGCGAGGAGCGCTTTCTTTCAGCTTTGGCTGATCCATCAGCTGCACCCCTACCTGGAGTACGACTGCCTGGCGACAGTGACACATGCGTTGGTGACTTCCCGCCTCGACTTCTGTAACATGCTCTATGTGGGGCTACCCTTGAAGAAAGTCTGGATACTTCAATTGGTTCAAAATAGAGCTGCCAGGCTGCTGACGGGGACTGGGCGCTATGGTCACATGACTCCAGTCCTCCGTCAGCTTCACTGGCTTCCCATTGAAGTCCGGGCCCAATTCAAGGTGTTGGTGATGACCTATAAAGCCCTTAACGGCTTGGGTCCTGGTTACCTGAAGGAGTGCTTACATCCATATATGCCCGCCCACCCCTTGAGATCTGCGGGAGAGGCCCTTCTCCGGGAACCCTCCGTGAAGGAAATTAGGAGGGTGAGTACTCGAAGGAGGGCTTTCTCTGCGGTGGCGCCTAATTTATGGAATGCGCTCCCCAGAGAGGTCCGCCTGGCGCCGTCGTTATTTGTTTTTCGGCGCCAGGCGAAGTCCTTTTTATTCAAATATTATTTTAATTGTTAATATTATTTATTCATTTTATTCTTTGGCCAGGGCAACTTAATTTATATTGTTAATTTATATTATTCTATTTTGAAGTTTATTTATGGTTGCGAGCCGCCCCGAGGCTTCAGCGAATGGGGCGGCATAGAAGTCTCCTAAATAAATAAATAAATAAATGTGGAGGCCTTTCTCCAGGCATCCCCATCTCAGCCTGTTGAGAGCTTGCTTAAAAGGCACTCTTAGGTATGTGCTAGGACTGTGGCCGTACTGCAGGCGTTCAGCTCCCTTTCTGTAATTCTGTGCAAGTGGCACAAATTGCTGGAAGCAAAACATCATGAAACTGAGGCTGCTGTACTTTTGGGCACATCTGTGAGAAGGCAAGATTCACTGGCAAAGACCATAATGCTAGGGAATTCAAAGGCAGAAGAAGACTGGGAGGGCAAACTATGAGCTGCACGGATTCCATCACGGAAGCCAGAGACTTGCCTTTACAAGGGCTGACCTGGGCTGTCAGGGAAAGGATATTCTGGCCCGTCACAGATTCTCAGCCCAACCCACCTCCCAGGGTTGTTGCTGTGGAGACAACCTGCCGACACATCAATTGCAGCACCACCACAAATGGTGGTTTGCGTCCTCCAAGGGAAGCTGAAGTTCACGTTCTGTTGGAAGAGGCCACCATAGGACTGGGCAAGGGGTTTGGAGGTCAGGCAGCCTTGAGCCCATGCATGTTCCGGGCTCTGGTGAGCAAAATGGAAGACACAGGCCAACAGCACAAGCAGGAGCAGGGCAGAGTCCAGCTTCTTCCCCACGCCCTTTGTGGGCAGCCTTGCCAAGCTGCAGAGATGCATTCAGAGTCTCCAAATGCCCGCCTGGTTGCCTGAACTGGTCTCACCTGAATGGGACGCGTATTTGCTGTGCGTTTTCTCTAGGTGATAATGGACGTCTTCCCACATGCTGAATATATTTAGGCCGCTTTAGGAGAATCTTCGGACAGGAAGAGCGGGATTTTGGAAAAACTTCAACAATGGGCGCAAAAACACGCGATTCCACTGACGGCCTGCGCTGGTTTTAGCAGCCCTTCAAGCACGGGGCCAGCCTTCCTTTGCGAGGGCCTGCCCGGGACTGCCGGCACTGGCTGCCTCGCCCCTTCCCCTCCGTCCTCGCCCCGCGCAGCCCGCCTCCGCCCAGCCCGGCGCCCACCTTCTCCGCGTCGTCTCCCAGAGGCAGCCCCAGAGCCCGGAGGCCGCTCTGCAGCTCGGAGATGTCCACTCGGCCGTCCCCATCGAGGTCCAGCTTCTTGAAGAGGTTCTCGTACCGCGCGTTCTTCCCGGGCGCCTCGCAGGCGGCCCCCGGGAGCGCGAAGCCGCTCAGGAAGCGCAGCATCGCGGAGCCCGAAGGGGAGCAGCGGGCGGGGAGCGGAGCGGAGCGGGGCCGGGCAGTGGCGATCGGCTGCGAATGCGCCCCCGAGGAGCGCGCACGGCTCGCCCCTCGTCGGCGGCCTCGGGGAGGAGCGACGGCAACGTCCGCGGCGAGCAAGCGAGCGCGCGCAGGAGCCAACACCCAGCGAGGGAGCAGGAAAGGGAAAGGCGGGCTGCTCCTTCTCATTGGGCTCCCCGGGCCTGCCAGGTCACAGCCCGGGCGGGCCGGGCTGCCTCTTGCCTCCTCCTTCCTTGCGCGGCGGAGCGCGCCTTGCGCGAGGAAGCTTCCGCCTCGGGCAGCGCAGGCCCCGCGGAGGCTCCGCGCTCTTTGCGCTCGGAGCGCAGGGCGAGCTTTTCGTCTTCTGGGTGTTCCCGCGGTCGCGCCGATCCGCCCCGCCGAGTTCCGCAGGGCTTGGCTGCCCCAGAGGCTGTGCGATCCTAAATATACGCGCCTGGGAGCTGAAGTCCCAAAAAGCTGGAGATCTTTCTGGCCATCCCGGGCAGCCTCCCTCAGCCTCAAGGCGCTTTGGACTTCTGCTTGCAACAGACCCAGCCAGCAGGGCCCATGATTAGGAATTCATGGACCTGTAGAGCAAAATATTTGGCTTGCTTATTTATTTATTTACAGCTTTTATATCCCGCCATTCACAGTGTCTCAGGGCGGTACACAATAAATGAATAAGATACTGTATCCAGATAATAATATATAAAATCAATCTTAAAACAATACTACCATTTAAAGTAATGGGAAAATAGAAAGGCTTGGGCCTGGTGCTGAAATCAAAAATGCGTTGGCACCAGGCCCACCTCTCTGGGGAGCTCATGCCACTGCCAGGGCGCCACCATAGAGAAGGCCCTTCTCTTCTGATCTCCTTCAAAGAGGGCTCCCAAAGAAGGGCCTCCAGTCCTGATCTTAGAGGGTTGTGGGGCACCAGCTTGGAGAAGGCTGCTTAGAGAGCTAGGTCTAATTTAAAGAGCCTACTTATTGCAGTCCTACAGGTGCCTTCATGGAAGCAATTGCATTGAAATCCATGCTTCTTCCTTTTTTGGGATCATCGGGTCTTCTCTTCCAGCTTCACTCTCACCGTAACTTCCTTCTTTCACGAGATTGGTCTCCACTTGCATTAACTTCTGATGTTTTGTGGTCAGCATGTTCACCCGCTGTTATAAAATGCCTCAGGAAGCTGTAGAAGTCTTGCAGTGGACAGTGGCCAACAACAGGACTTCTTCCTCTGTAGCCTTTTCCAAATGCAGGTCCCCAGGTGGTGTGGGATTACAGCTCCCATCACCCCTAACTATTGCATATATAGGCTAAGGGTACGGGGGGGGCGTACCTCAGATGCCTCGTGGGGGGGCATCTGAGGACCCAAGGTTGGGGAAAGTTGGGTCATAGAAGCATGACATGTAGGCACGGAACAGGTTAAATTGTCCGTAATGGCACGGCAGCGGTGGGAAACCCACACTTGGTTGTATTTTGACTAGTCATGGGTTGTAGCAGCAGTGGATAGTGGAAAATGGTGTTCTTTAGCTACCAAATGGAAGGACAAAGTACATAAGGCACGTAAAACACAGTCTGCAGCACATCTCTGCTTCTGTGGCCACAACCCTATACATACTTCCCAGGGAATATGTACAAAATTGTTGTTGTTAGTCGCAGTCGTGCCCAACCCATCGCGACCCCATGGACAACATTCCTCCAGGCTCTCCTTCCTCCACCGTCCCTCGGAGTTCATCCAAGCTCACACCCACTGCCCCAGTGACTCCATCCAGCCACCTCATCCTCTGCCGTCCCCGTGTATAAGGTACTACTCTACTAATCTATGATTCTAATAAATCAGAGGGACTTCTTCTGAGTAGACATGTAAAGGATTGTGCTGCAGCTGCACCACTTTGCTGGTTTTTTAGCAGATGAGCAGTGTATAAATATTAATAACAAATAATGCCTTTCAACTGTCATCAGTCTCAAGGTTCACAGTTATTTTGTTCTAAAAGTCCATCAAGTCAAATTACTTTGAAAATATATTTGTAAACATTATGCAAGAGAAAACCTCAACTAGATTCCCTTGCTTTTGGTTGATTCTTTAGAAGGCACTTAAATGTACATTTGGCCTCTCTTCCAGTATATACATCACATGATTGTTGCTAATGCAAGGGAAAATGTGGGAAATAATGTGGTTTTAAAATGGGTATTGGCTGGAATTCATAATCTCCCAGCAGAAAGCGGCAGTACTTCACTAACCTTACGAACTCATTGGCAGTCTCAGAAAGAGAAGATAAAAGAAACTAAGTCTCATGACACTGATAAAGCAAATATCGACTCATAATCAGCCATCAGGCTCAGCCGTGTTTTAAAAGCTTTTTGTTTTTCTTTTATCTGTGAAACAAATATGCATCTACAGCTTTTGGATAGCGTTGCTGAACAAGGCTGAGGTCCAGCATGGCATCATGGTTAGTGCGTGGGGCTGGGGGCTGGGGACTGGCAGGTCTACTCCCTGCTTAGCCACAGAGTCCACGAGTGACTTTGGGCCAGTCACACGTTTGTAGTTGAGAAGATAAAATGCCAAGAAGGAGAACGATGGAGTGTGAATGTATTGTAATAATAATAATGTTGCCACTGATGGATTTTACGTTTTGCTCTATTTATCTATTGCTTCTCTGTGTTTGTTAATAGACCTTGTTTTTAAATGCTGCTGGAAGCTGCCTCAAACTTAGGAAATAGTGAAAGAAAGAAAGAGCTCCAGAAAAGGTAAATTTTAATCAAGTGTGTGATTTCAACAAACTACCTATAACCAAAACATGTTTGTTAATATGTTCTAAAATATATACACATATGCTATATGTATACGGTACTGTACAAATTTAAATATTTATTTAACACTTTTGTATGCTGTTCCTTATGCATGGCATCTCAGGATGGCTCACAATCCTTAAAATAGAAATACAAGAAAAACCACATATATAAATAACAAGTACAATTTTACATAAAAGTCAAAATCAAAGCAACTGTTGAGAACGATTAAAATACTAATTTTTAAAATAGCGATTAAATATAAAGGTTTTGACCTGGCACCAAAAATAATATAAACTCAGCACAAGGCACACCTCTGCCTCTCTTCCTTTCTGCTGTTCTTTAAGTCCTTAGATCAAGCTGGAATTAAATTAATCCGTTTTTTTAATCTACAGCTATTACTCTGCATATGTCTGCAATTTTTAAAAACAGTCTGCAGGCAGCAGGGTGTGATTGGTTAAGGTTACTATTTCACTACTGTACAATGCTTAGTAACATTAGACACTGCCTAATAGCAATTTGATAAGGAGAAGGTTTACATTGATACTTCATTTATGGAAAGATTGTTACCTTACACCTGAAGTAATTTACAAAGTCTCCAGTAGACTAGGAAAATAGAAACACAGTAGCAGAGGCACCATTGTAAATACTAATAAACAGATTGCTACTCCTTAGGTAAACTAAAGGAAGAGTTCTGTTCAGGCTTGGGAGAGCCCTGCCTCAGGATCATCCTGCAAGAGCCACATCAAGAAATCCTGCTGGAAAGTTAATCATGCCTGGAGTGCATCTTTGCCTTCATAGACCTTAGGGTCACACTGGAGTACTTTGTAACTTTTGAGTCTGGGAGATTACCCTAATGACAGCTGTGGTCTTTGTGTTGCGCTATACCACCAAATGTTTTAAATTCTAAAAATCCTTAATATTAATGAACAAAAGCGTGTGCTGCAGGAAGGATTGTGGTCTAAATAAACACACTATGATTACGTAAGCAGCTTTCACATAGACACTGAACCAGTGAGTCACTCATCCTTCCCATGCCAACTAACCATTTTTGCCTAAACAATAAACTACATATGATACTTAGAAAAATGGGTTGCCTTCCTCATTTTCTTAGCTGGGTTAAAGCAAACACTATATTTTGAAACTGTTCAAGTATGACCATAGTTATGAAAGTGGACAGCTTTCACATTGCTAAACTGTGGCTTTAAAAAAAATCCCCTCAGATTCTGAATTTCATTAACTTGGACAAACTGCCATCCTACCTGGATGTAAAATATTTATGAAATTATAAAGAATAAGTATCTGAATTTGCTTCTTTGATTCCTATCAATATATGTTCCTTTTGTTTCCTTTTGCCTAGAAAACTTTATCCATTGAAATTAAGTTCCATTTATGGGGTTTTCCAAGCAACTTACTGGAGGGTAAATACGATACTGGAAATAAGAAACCTCCAAATGATTTGGATTACAACACTCATTATTCCTGACCATTGACTGGTGGGAACTGGTGGAAATTATACTCTAACCTTCCAAGGGCACTCTGCTGACTTTGATCCAAAGTTACACTGGCCAGATTCTCACATCACAAAAAGCCATGATGATTTTTCACCATTGTTGGTTTGTGGATACAGTCATGGAATTTTGGGACTTTCTGCATGGTTTTCCCAAACCACTGAGAGAATCCATGGTCTGCTCTAATGTTTCCACATCTTCTCTGGTCATTTGGTTATCACCATCTTACCATTGTTGATATGGAAACACTAAACAGTCCCCTGAAAAGAGCAACTAAGGAAGTGACCATTGAGCTATCTGTTCCCGGCTACTGCCAGCTCCCTAGCAAGCTTCAACATGTACACTAAAATTCCTTCTTCTGAATTCCCACTGAGGACACAAAAGTCCAGTCTACCTCTGCAGCTGCCCATGCTTGAAACAGCATATATCCAAGGCCTCTTAATTCTTAATTATTATCAGCCCTAGTGCTTTCCTATGAAAGGCTGAGTGGATTATGAAACTCCTAGTTAATATAAAGTTTTCTTTCTTTCATTCTGCTGGTGTTCACAAGTAATGTAACTGGATTGTCATTCTGAGGATGACACTCCAGTATGTATGCTTTCACTGCTACTATATTTAATTTTAGAAGCACTTGTGCTTGCATAAAATGTGATATATTGACATTAGTGTCAACAAATAGATGCATTAAAATGTGATATGTATGCATGTGTTGTCTGGATAGTATAGCCTTTTAATTAGTGTCATTCCCATCAGGCTCGATATCGCCCACATCAGACTATATT